AAGTTTATGGGCAGTTGAAATGTTGTTCAGTTTTCTGCGCGAAGCCTTTTTGTTCTTGTTAAAAAACCATGACTCGTCTTACAATTATTTTCTGTGCGATATAATGTCGGCAGGCGTTCGAAAAGAATAGGAAACCGGCTTCTTGACAGTCCTTTCTTATTTGAAATTTTCTTGAACCAAAAAAAGAACCAGAATAACTTCTAGCTCTGCAAGTAGCACAGGAGACCATATAAACAGAAAACAGCTGCTAGCTTAGAAAAACTGTTTTCTTTCGTTAAGTTTCTGACGTGTCCATCTAGACCAAAAGGATGGGAAATCAAAAACACTTTTTAATAGCTGTAACTGTAGCTGAAATAATGCAAAACTTGCAGTAGAATTGAAGTGGGCGTCAGCGAAATTGACTTTGATGTTATAAAGTTTTTAAAGTTTTGTCTGAAAGACGACAAAAACTGAAACCAGTTCTTAGAAAACATAGATAACTTGTATTCTTTTGGATTCTTGTTATCTAAAACTGAAACAGCTACATTTTTGCTTCAATCAATCACACGAGTCATAGCCATTCTTCAAACCATCTTTTTCGTAGTTCTTACTTTCCATGGATCAACGATGGTCTAAGTTTATGTGCAACCCTCCAAATCGTTTGGTTAAATCATCTAATTGTGATTCTAGAAAATGAAAACAAATAATCAACAACAATAACTCGCAAGCAAGAAATTGTTTACGTAAAACTGATTACGTGAAACTGTAGACAAAAAATATAACTGGAGCTGATGCATTAGGCTATAAAATTTTCCCCAAACTTTTCAAAGTAAACTTCAAGAAAGCATTGATAAGTTTATGGGCGGAACACAAAGTCGTTTTAGTCTTTGCTCGATGCCTCTATTTAGTTTCGTAAGTTTCTCAAACAACGCTCCCGGAGTTTTTATGATTAAGAATCATTTGCACCCCAAAACCCCCAAAAAATAATCCATAAAAGAGCTGTTCAGCTCTCTGCTCAAAGCCACTCCGGTTCTCTATGCCACTTCTTAAATTTTTTTTCTGGGTGATATAATGTCGGCAGGCATTCGAAAAAGACAGGAAAACCTTGATTTTTCATCATCCTATCCTAATTGAGTTTTTCTCGAACCAATAACAAGTTCAAGAGCAACTACTAGCTCTGCAAGTAGCACAGGAGGTTCCGAAGATAAGTATCTTTTCAAAAATGATAAGTTTTATCTGATTTAGTCAATTGTATAAATTCAATGTTTTTTTTTCAAAAAATCATTCTTAACACAAGAAAAGAAGAGAAAAATATACTTTACAAAATTATTGAAGGAAGGGAAAAATTACAACCGAATTTTTGAATTAAATTTAATTATGTGTTGAGAAACTTAAAATCATTGAAAAGTGAGTAAACGAAAAACTCCAAAAATAGAATCCAGCCACACACTACTCTTTTACCTTGTTCACAAAGAGTAAAAACAGAACAAAAAAACAATGCGAAAACAGTTTTTCTTTTTTCAAATTATTTTAAAAAGCAGCTCATATTTGTTTTTGTCTCAGCGGAGTTTTGTTGGTGTTTTCTAAAAACATTGGTCCTGTCATAGGCCAAAAATGACCAATAACGCCATAAAAAAAAACATTATAGCTTGTCTTTACTGGTTTCTTCTGTAACTCTGTTTTTATTGTTAGCTGACTGTGATCAACTATTTTTTGGAGCCATCAAAACACCCTAATTGTTCCGACTTTTGATACGAAAGTAACGGAATATTTGTGCTCGGGTGCGTTTTTTTTCTTCAGTCAAATTTTGGATTTTTAACTTGCCATTTTTGACGGAACTTTTTATATCATTCGAAAGATATTGTTGTCCTGAGGTCTTGAACTTAAAAAAATATTTCACTGTGATCATTTTTTTGTAAAGTTACGGGGGTTTAAAGATTACCATTTCGGCCGACTTCGAACAATTAACGCGCGATATACTTTGCGCTATTAACGTGCAAGCGGAGATTTTATCCGTCTTATGAATCGTTCCAAATTGGTTGAAAGAAACTTCTTTGCCATAACTGATTTGTTACAATGAGCGAAATTTATCTTTTTGTACTTAATATGGTGTATGGGGGGATGATTTTCATTTAAACTAATTTCAAATTTAGAAAAAAAAATTCTTTTTATTTCATTTCATTTAATTTTTTTATGTTATTACTGCTCCATAAAACCCAAAAAGCAGTCGGAACATTCAGGGCTTCGCCCTGGTATGAGCAGTCTTGTTATCAGTTGATTTTTTTTTCAGATGAAAATTGACTAGTTCTTGCACTTAAATTGACATTGTATAGGTGTGTACATTTCAAGAAGTTTAAAAAGAATCAAAATTACAATTAAACTGTTTCCATTTCTCTTCAACGCTACCTCTGCAATTTATATGAATCAGGTATATTGAACCAAAACAAAAACCAAGGCGACATAAACAGGAAAAAAATAATTTTATACAGAAAAGTTTACAGATAAACGTAATTAAAGGAACAGTTTATCGTTTTTCTTTTTGCGAATAACAAATGATAGATTACAGACAGAATTTATGCTTTTTCAACAAACTGCTGATGTCTAAATAAAAGGCAACTTTATTTTATAAAACAAATTTTTAATTTGGAGTTAATCTGTTTCTAAACGTCAAATATTCTGTGTGGAATGAGATTTTTATTTAAAAAAATGATACAATCTCTATAAATTTTGAATAAAACCGCACAACGCCAATTGATTATCTAAAAGCTATCGTGGTTTAAAAAATTTACTTTATTCTTCAAAAAATTAATTTTTATGATTGTATTTGTTCACAAATTTTTGCGAAATTTTTACCGAATAAAAATCTTTGTCAATCTTTAATGCAGCTGAGGTCTTTTGAAGGGATTTTATCGCAATACATAAGTTTCAGAAGATGCCTCGAAAAAATTTTTACCTTTGGGTACTCGCAATAAAAAAAAATTATGCAATTTTTCGTCATATTCCATTTTTCAGATCAACGTTTATAATGCATCTGTATAAAAAGCATTAAAAAAACTGTAAATCTAACCTGAAAAAAATATTTTTGCTGCAAGGTTTTTGCTTATGACGCGTATTATCAAATATTTTCAGTTTAAACATCAGCACAAAAATTTATATGAAAAACAAGTCTTAGATACCTTTTTTTGTCCACTCAGATTAGTTATAAAGCTAAATAATGCTGAAAATTAGTATTAAGTCTCTATAAAATATGTAGAGGTTATGCTTCAAAACTGTATACAAATATATTATACACTTTATGTAATCTGTGTGTAATCACTGGAGGACGCTCATTATTTCTCTCGTGTAGAATGGGAGCCAGCAAAATGAAGCAGAGGGAATGATCTTACTTGGCAATGCTAAGTTCTACAAAATGTTTTTTCTTCCGATTTTCGATACGAAAGTAACGGAATTTTTGTTTTCGGGGTGGTTTTTTTTTCTTCAGACAAATTTCGGCTTTATAACTAGCCATTTTTGACGGCACTTTTTTATATCATTCGAAAGATACTGTTTTTTTGAGCTCAAATTTGAAAAAATATTTTACCTGTGATTACTTTTTGTGAAGTTACGGGGGTTTAAAGATTGCCATTTCGGCCAATTTGGGACAATTAACGCGCGATATACTTCGCGCTATTAACGTGTATGCGGAGATTGAATCCGTCTTATGAATCGTTCCAAATTGGTTGAAAGAAGCTTATTTGCCATAATAGTTTTGTTACAATGAGCGAAATCTATCCTTTTGTACTTATTATGGCGTATGGGGGGGATGATTTCATTTAAAAAAGTTTCTTTTTATTTTGTTACTTTTTATTTTTTATTAGGTTATTACTGCTCCATAAACCTTAAAAAGTGGTCGGAACAATCCGGGCTTTGCCTTGATACGAGCAGTCTTATTGTTCCGACTTTCGATACGAAAGTAACGGATTATTTGTGCTCGGCGTGGGTTTTTTTTTCTTCAGACAAATTTCGACTTTTTAACTAGCAGTTTTTGACGGAATTTTTTGTATCATTCAAAAGGTATTGTTGTCCTTACCCCAAACTTGAAAAAATATTTTACCTGTTATTTTTTTTGTAAAGTTACGGGGGTTTAAAGATTGCCATTTCGGCCAATTTGGGACAATTAACGCGCGATATACTTCGCGCTATTAACGTGTATGCGGAGATTGAATCCGTCTTATGAATCGTTCCAAATTGGTTGAAAGAAGCTTATTTGCCATAATTGATTTGTTACAATGAGCGAAATCTATCCTTTTGTACTTATTATGGCGTATGGGGGGGATGATTTCATTTAAAAAAGTTTCTTTTTATTTTGATACTTTTTATTTTTTATTAGGTTATTACTGCTCCATAAACCTTAAAAAGTGGTCGGAACAATCCGGGCTTTGCCTTGATACGAGCAGTCTTATTGTTCCGACTTTCGATACGAAAGTAACGGATTATTTGTGCTCGGCGTGGGTTTTTTTTTCTTCAGACAAATTTCGGCTTTTTAACTAGCAGTTTTTGACGGAATTTTTTATATCATTCAAAAGGTATTGTTGTCCTTACCCCAAACTTGAAAAAATAATTTACCTGTTTTTTTTGTAAAGTTACGGGGGTTTAAAGATTGCCATTTTGGCCAATTTGGGACAATTAACGCGCGATATATTTTGCGCTATTAACGCGTAAGCGGATAGTTAATCCGTCTTAGAAATCGTTCTAAATTGGTTGAAAGAAGCTTATTCGCCATAAGGGAGTTGCTCTATGCGGAATCTATCTTTTTGTGCTTTACATGGCGTATGAGGGGATGATTTTCAAAAAAATATATTTTTAAAATTTAGAAATTTTTTTTTTCATTTCTTTCATTAAATTTTTTATTGTTATTACTGCTCCATAAACCTTGGAGGGCAGTCGGAACATTCAGGGCTTCGCCCTGATACGAGCAGTCTTGTTTAATTATGTGGTTGCTTTTCTTAAATTTTTTCCTGCTGCTCGCTAAAACTGTTTAGGTCCAAACGATAATGCCGAATCATCATGTCAGCCGACGGAGTTTGCTCCAGGCGTGATATTGTACGAACCACTGGTCTACTACGAAAACGGCACCACCAAAGCAGTCATGAAATCAATCTACATCGAGAAGTACTCAATAGTCAGTTGTGGATGTCCCACTAAAAAATAAAAGCAGGAACAAAAAATTGAAATGTTAATTTAAATTTATTATTTTCTACTGTTTTGGGTTTCCTGGGTGCTAGCTTGCAAGTTTTTATGCAGTTTGATGGGTAATTTCAATGAAAATATCACAATTTTTCAATTCTGAATTGCATTTTGAATTATAATTTTGAATTAAAATTATTTTGATATGAAGTTTTGTTCGAAGTTTAAAAAAATTCACTCAATAAACTTCACGCTTTTTTCGGCTCATTCTCTCGCAAAATCTAGTTTGATGAATTTAAGCGTTATCAGCTTTATCAGCATGGATTTTCTCGAGTGGGGGTGGTGGCTGTTTTTCAAAACAAGAACACTATAAATACCCTATTTCGACAAAAAAAATTGGAAAAAAAACAGGCCAAAAACAGCGTTTTTACAATTTTTGACCAAAAAATTGCGTTTTCACGTCGAGCGGTCTCTTAAAAATTTCTATATTTTGGCGCCGAAGACGCCTTCAGAAAATGTAGGGTTCTTCGGCCATAAAAACCCACAGGGAGGGCCTTTGATTTTGAGTGGGTCGAATCCTGGAGAGAGAGAGAGAGAGAGAGAGAGAGAGAGGACGTCCGCCACCGTCCCGTCCTAAATCCGCCACTGATTATCAGATCAAATTAACATCAACAGCCCTGAATTTACAAAATTGAGAAAGGTCCTATTTCAATTATTGTTGGGATCGAAAATGCTTATAGCGTGAAAGTCGAATTTGGCTGGCTGAATAGTACCCGATTAAATGCCAAAGCAACACCCTCCCTTCTACCTAAAAATCTTTTGGGAATCATGTTAACTGGATCCACATATTGTCTACTGGAAGTGTAATGATCTGTATCTGCGCTGATTGACAATTTGAAAAAATAATTATACCCCTTACTATAAACAATCAACGCGGATGCAAAACTTTGGCAGACCGACTTTTTACACAATCTGATGCGCCGGTTAGACTCAAAAAAAATCGTTTCGGAACGAGAGCTGAAAACAGCAAAATCTTATTCTAATCTTGACTTAATTTCGCCGCTTTTCTAGACTGTTGTTCCGAAAAAAAATTACATTTGTGCTTGATGGTTTTTTTCTCCAAAGTTTTTAGTCCCCTGATTTGTCATTTTTGAGGTTTTTGTTTCATCAGAACATCTGAAAACTATTATAAACTTGAGCTATTTGTAAATATAGTTAACCTCTGAAAAAAAGAGTGAAAACACTTGTTTTCAAAAAAAAACCAAACTAGCAATGAGTTTCAGTTCATTAAAACTTGAGCTGCAAAGAAAGCAGGCAAAGAAAATCAATCCTAATAGGGCTGAAGCAACCATTTTGTTGTTATTAAAACTGGCTGCAAAACATATTATTGTTAAAGGGAAAAGTGTGCGGGCGGGCAAAGATTTTCATACAACAAAAAAAAAGCGAGACTGCCCTTTAAGACTGCCCGACTGCCCTCTAAGGTCTATCGAGCAGTAAATTATGGACAATTTAAATGCAATAAAATGAAACTAACTTTTTTTTCTACCCCCCACACGCCATATTAAGTACAAAATGATAGAGTTGGGTAAGACAGCGCGACTAAGAAACAGTTCCTCGCAATCTTCGCGACCGAGGTGGACACGGCGCAACTTTTGAGACCATCGCGGAGACGGCGAGATTTTTCAGACCAGGGTGGAGACGGCACGACTTTTCAGACCAACATGAAGATGGTGCAAATTTCCAGACCAAGGCATAGACGGCGCGACCAGGAAACGATTGCTCACAAACGAGGTGGATACGGCTACAATTTTCAGACAAATGCGGAGACGGCGCGACCACGAAACAATTCATCTGAGACCAGGGTAGCGTCCGCGCGACTTTCCAGACCCAGACGGAATTGGTGCAAAATCAGGTACCACAATAAATAATCGGAATGGGCAGAACTCGTCGAGCAGAATATCACTTTGAACTGCTTTTAGAAGTGTCAAGAAAAATCCCTTTCAATTTTTTTAAGTCTAATTTCGAGCGAATAATGGGAGCTAGCAGGCTTATTTTGTTTTTCCACAAAAAGCATTTACCACAAATAATCATCGTAACGGCTAGGGTGATTTATCATATTCTTGTTATTAAAGTAATTTTAGTTTTGATTCGAACGACGCGCAGAAAAAATTAAAAAGTGTCGAGAAATAGCGGTTTGATTTTCCAAGTTTCATTCTAATTTCGAGTGAGACAAGCCAGTGAGCAGGATCAATATAGAAGATTAAGACATTAATTATTTGCTATTTTTTCCATTTCAACTATTTAGCGCTAAGAAAAATCCAGGAGCTTTTTCAAGTCATTTTTGGAATGAAAAACTTCAAAAACTCTTTGCGAAAATGAAGATGGATTTTTGAATTTTGTTTTTGTTTTTTTTTTCACCATTTTTTCGGCAGAGACAGTTATCCTATTTGTCTTTTTACTGTGACTGTTTACTGTGCATGAATTTTAGATTTTTGTCATACTTTTTCTTTAAAACACGCACAAAAACCTACACTAATTTGAAACATACCCTTGAAATAGTTTCTGATGAATTTATTTGTAAGAATATGGTCGGAGCATTCTGTGCTACTTGCTCAGCAACTAACTATATCATTCGTATAGAATATGATGTCTGCGATGTGATGTTTCAATCGGTGTTTCAAAGCCGCCTTGTCAAAGAAATAGTCGTTGATCGATCAGGCGCTCTTGGGTAGTTCTCCATAACACAAAATTTATTATATTTTCACACAAATTTAGTTTTTAGTTGTTTTCCGTTTTTTCATTTTTTAACTTTAAATATGTTTCTGTAGCCTTGAAAAAAAAACCTATATCGCACGATTTAGAAAATAGACAGAAAGGCCTCTTGGAAAATCTTACGATGTTCTGGAGGCTTTTTTCAGGTTGTGCGATTTTGGATGTTTTCGTAATCGTAATCAAAATCACTTGAATCACCAATTTGAATTAGAACGTTCCGAATTTTCAAAACGTTTCATAATTTCTCAGATTTGAAAGCTTTAAGACTAGTTACTCTGAAAACCGTCAGAAATACTGTCGCAATATGAAGATGGCGCAACCAAACTTTCGCAGTCAGGTCAAAGAAGTAACAGAGTGGAGACGGCTTCGCGACGGTTTGGAAGTTCGCGTCCTAAGCACAGTTTAGATTACTTGAACGCAGTACTTTTGGTTATCAGATTTTATTTGTTCACATATTACTGATTTTAATGATTTACGGACTCAGTGGTATATCAAATTACCTGCAAAGGTTTTATCGTTTTACCAACACTTTACTTCGGCTTTTTAGCCGCGCACGATTTCAACTATCATTCACGTACAATTGAATCCAACAAGATATGCCTAACATTGAAAACAAACAATTATTTATTTTTTTTCTATCAATAAAATCATCGTTACATATGTGACGACCAATACGTTATGTTTTGGTAACATCAGCGTTAAATTATTATTTACAACAATTTACTTTCATAGAAGAAACTGTTTTATATTGGTTTTGTACAAAAACTATTTCAAAAATGGCAAATTACCCGAGCATGCGATTTTGGCCTGGACCTGATCTTCTGCTGAAAGATCTCATTGAGAAAGAAGACAAATTGAATGTGCATCACGCCCTGGAAATGTGCGAAAGAGCCAAAATTGACGCATTCCAGATCAAAAAGAGAGCATTGTTGCGCAGGGCAGGCTTAAAGGTAATGACGTCATGTTTTTTCTGTTCTGGTAAAAACTGGCAAAAATAGTTTTAATTTTGGTTCTCAAACTGTCAGAAATTTCTCCACTCCCTGTCACCTCATTTTTTTCACACAATTGTTTATTACAACTGTTTTTGTTTGCTTTTTTAACTCATTTTAAATTGTTTTGACTACACACAGTATACCAAAACATCCCAATCAAGTCGTATGGCCGATGAACAGGAATTTCTCGAGGGGTATTGATTCCCAAAAAATTTCGAAATTTTTGTCGAACTGTTTTTCTTGTTTAGGTTGACTCCCAATTTCCCAGTTCTCCCAAAGCGCTAGAAAAACCTTTGGCATAATTTTGAACAAACAGGCCAAAAAAGGCGTTCTTAGGCACTTTTGGAAATAGACGATTACTCTGTGCTAAATGTTTCACCGTTAAAAGCCAAAAAGCAAGTTTCCAATTAGAAAAAGAATGGTTAGTTTCAATGTTACCGACACAGGAGTAATTCCTTTAACTGATAAAACTTTTGCAATCAAGAAGATTACTACTACCAAAAATCTGAAATATTAACGTTCAATCTTCGGTTCTACAAACTATTATTTGAAATTCATTTGTATCCTCGCACCACTAAAAAATCTTTTCAAACGTTTATTAGAGAAAATGCCCATATATCAATTGAACAAATTTAATACTATTGTTTTGAAACAATGAAACAAGAGAAAGTGAAACTAATTGAGAGAACACATTTTCGACGAAAAACTACAAAACAAAGTAAAATCTGACAGTTCACACTACTGCCTTGAAGCATTGCTAGGTAAGCTCCATGAGAACGTTTCGGAAATGAAATCTTTCGGCTCAAGACTTTTAATTCCTCAAGAGCCAAATACTCCGATAACGAGTTCGAACTTTTTGGATTAGTCTGGGCATTCAAATATTTAAAAAACTTTTTATTTGTTCAAAATTTGATATTATTATTGATCATAAAGCTTCTACCCGTCTACAAATTTTTGTCCTGTCTACAAATCACCGTAACAAATTTGTCATGGTAGATTAGCACGTTTAGTAGTTGACTTCACCTTTTAATTTCTCAAATCAACAATAATAGCGGGCTATGATACGGGCTTTACTGATTTAATTTTAAATTTTCATCGGGTAAAGCCATTCAGTTTTAGTTTATGATGAAGAATTTGTGGTAGCAACTGTTTCTAAAATTAATCAAGCCTTTGTTCTGTTGCATAAAAACTCAAAATACGGCAGCATCGTAGTTGCTTCTAATCTGGAGAAATCGAAGTTCTTCTAAATACCTGATAACATTATTACTTCGACTTTGAAATTTACAAACTTTTGTCGTCAAACTTGTAAAATAAAACACAGTCGATTAGAAGATTGTTCTTAAAAATGTAATCCTTTGCGTTTTTTTTTGATTTCGAATCCTCAAAAAATTTTAATTACTGTTTCTTTAAATTTTATCGGTAAATTCAAACTTTATTAATTTCAACCCCGACGTTACCGTATAATTATTTTGATGATGTCCCATAAAAAAATTATAATTGATACTACAAACCCCGGTTCCATTTTTATTCTTAAAAAAAACAAGAACTAAACCCAACAGATTTGGCTTTGGTATAAAATTACTAAGAAACCCTGAAACTGCCTGACAAATTACTATCCGTTACTTCTCTACTCACTAGAAAATCTTGTGACTACTTACAGAAGAAGACCAAAATTTATTTCCACTGGCTAAGATACTTCACGGGAGAATGGTTTTATAGATATGCACAAAAGGTGCATTTTCTCCACACTTGAAAGTTTTTCACGAATCCGAAGAAGAACTTTGTATGGACGGCATATTGGCCATCCGTAGTTCGGCTTCAGAAACGCGATGATAAAAAATCTCAATGAGAATCGCCCAGGACAATTCGGCATGAAGTTCCCGGCGGAATACATCTGAATTAATCAATTTTACAGGCAGATATGTCAACATTCTATATAATGCAATAAATGTACGAAAGCAGGTAAGGCCACTGAAACTCTTATACCAAACAATTCCGTCGGAAAATAACCTGAGTTTTTTTATATCCAAACAACAATTGGACTTAGATTTTGCAGGCCCACAAGACTTACTGTGGAGCAAAAAAGACTACCACATGATTTGTATTGATTGTTTCTCGAGATTTCTTTTCTTGAAAATCACATCGAATACCCCGATTAACACTGTTAATTATTTTGTCCGAGAATACATTTTGTTCACGACATGTCAAATTCAAGAAGCGACTGAAGATGGCTTTACTGTAGAGGACTTACCATTAAAAAAAGAAATCCGGAGATTTAGGGCTAGGATTCGGAACACCAGACAAAAATAGAAAAGACCAGACGAAAATCAAATGATGGCAATCCATTGGAGATTCCGTTTTCTAAGGGTATCGTTCTTAGTGAAATCGACCTTTAAACGATGGATCCGCAGTATAACTATCCGCTGGAAAAGTTATTCTTAAACCGGATATAGCAGCGAAAAAATCCGATTCGGTACAACCCTACGCTTTTTGAGAAACTATTTCTTTCACCTAGGTCGTTAATCAAAATTTCAAAGTATGTACAAGAGCTCTGAAAAAAAGTGTTTGTAGAGAAACCTTGAAAGAGATATCCAGCTACAAGAGATATCCAGCCAAAACGGCAACATCCGATAAGGGTACAACGGCCCCCATTCAAGGTACATCAACCTCAGCACCAATCAAAGGAAAGCCTCAATTCAGAACCAAAGCCCAAATTCGAACCAAACCAGAGGACACTCAAAAAAAAGGACGAGCTACGATGCCAAGAAACCTCAGTAAAAGACAAGTACCCCGATCAAAGAAAGACAAATCATCAGTTTAATTCGCAGGCGATGAACCTAGTTTTATTCCTTCGGATACTTCTGATATTACCTAATGGAAGTGGTTGGTGGGAGGTTTTCTTTAAAGAGATGTGGCGAAAGAGAGATTCATCTCTGATAATTAAAAAGCGCTTAACTCCCAAAAACCGGTTAAAATAGTTTCGAGACAATACCGTACAATTGAACCCAGTTTTAGCCCAACCTGATTACTACCTATCGCTCCAGAGAATAATGACAATAAACTTCTCGTTGAGGACAAATAAACGGCAAAAACCGAAAATACTCCAATGGATAAAGATTCTCTAGCCCAAAAAAAACCAAGCTACGAAATAGTAACTTCCTCTGCAGAAATGGATATCAGAACTACTGGGCCATCCTTCACCTAAGTTTCTATGTTTCTATAGTTCGTTAAACGCTGGCCAATCAAAGTTTTTTGGCAGTAGTTGTTTTATAGATATTGGAGATCAAACCAGATCAGCCAAAAATCGTAACAGATAGTGAGGAAATTTTTAGGGAGTGTGGCGCTGTAGTAACTCAATTTATCAACAATACAACGCTGGCTACGGGCATACTTACAATAAAAAATTCAACGGTACATCTCACAATCCGGATTCATCTTACAACCGTTGTTATATGCCAGTTTGACAATTGACAACCATCCTAGATGACTTCAACTTTTCACATGCAATCAGGAAAACTCCGGGAAAAAAATTGAAAACCAAAACTCAAAAAATACAAAACTGATTTACCAAACACGTGCAACCAACTAATTTATAATCAAATCAAAGTTCAAAGCAAGAAAGACTCAAGAACATCGTGTAAATTAGAAACGATTACATTTTCGTTTTCTATATGGCACTCAGCTAAATTGCCAGAAGCCACACCCTTGCTCTACCCCCTGACCAGGCTGGAAGCACAGTTTGTCTTTAGTGCCAACCAAGGATTACTCGTTTTGCAGTTGCTTAAGAATAAAAAAAAAGTCGGTTTAACAATTTGGACCCCCATAGCTGAACTTTGGTATAGGGACGTTAACTTTACGTTTTGGTTTATATTACTTTCCGCCTGTTTAGGTATCAGAACGATTTACTATCAAGCATTTGTAACTTTCAATTGCTTATTTTATTTCGTTATACTTATTTGAAAATATATTTACCGAACCATTGTTTTTTTGCTTCCTTCCTTTTTAAGTTTAGGTCTAGCTACCTAGGACAGGAACTAACAAAGTAGGTCACAACTACGACTGGATACGACATCTACAACAACTGCAACGATCAACTACGACAAACTAGCCATGCCCAACAAAACCAATCTCCCCAGAGAAATCTTCTCATCGCCCAACTAGAGCGCCTCTTCAGACGGGTACGAAAAGCCATCAGTGACATCAATACACACTACAACATAGCTGACTCAGAAACCGAGATGAAGAAAATTCTCAGCAATTTGGAAGACGCCACTACGTACCTTGTAGACCACCCGACTGAGCACGCCACTGCGGAGGATCTCATCAACCGCTTCACCAATATACAAGACGAACACGACGACATCATGCATGAATTTAGACAGATGCTACAAGAAAATACAGCAGAGACAACTCCACAACAGTAGAACACTAATGCCACCACAGTTCAAGCCCCCCACACAGCTGATTCAGTGCAATAACAGACAATACTAGATCGGGACTCTAGCCAGACGTCAACATTATCCAACAGCAGCCATCAGCCCGGATCATCAGTTCAGCAAACAGTAGAGGACCAAATTTTTTCAGATAGCCGAGATACTCCGCAGCAAGCCCCCCAGACAGGTTTCGAAATAGACAGACCACCACTTCAACGAACAGAACACGACACCACCAACGCAAACCTCAGCTTCAACATAGTTACAGAACAGCAGTTCATTCCAGCAGCAGTATCTCAGACATCAAATAACGGACAGTCACGAGCAAACTACAGTCTTATGACTAGGCCCCCAAAAGTAAAAATCGAGCCTTTCGACGGAAACCCTATGAAGTGGAGCATGTGGTTCGGACTCTTTGAAGCAACAATCCACAATCAAGCCATCTTGGACGCCGAAAAGATGACTCATCTGCAGACTTTAACAACTGGAAAAGCAAATCAAGCTATTTGTGGCTACTCCTGCAGT